AGTTTAAAAAGACTCGTGCAATTTCAAATTCATTGACTCTACTAAAATTTTATTGCAATATAATACATAGCAGATATAAAATTTTTAAGATAAAAAAAAAAATCAAATATCGGAATGTTAACGTATTTCTATCATATAATGGAGATATATATATACAGAAAAAAAGTAAAAATATCTTTTTTTATTTTGTAAAAACAAGGAATTTATGTAAAATAAATATAAAATATATCAACATATATATGATTATCACCGTTATATATCATAATTCATGTTTCGTTGTTTATGAATTATAATGAAGATATTTTTTATATTGGAAATATTAAAAATTAAATAATTTCTATTTTAAATATTGTATTAATTGTTGTAATTTTATTAAATGTATACCGATAAAGAGAATGTTCTATTTATTTTAATCATGTTTACTGTATGGCACGAAAATACCGTTGAAAAGTCCACGATAAAAATTGCATTTCATGCTTTCAGACTTTATGAATTTATTATGAGTTTTAAAAACAAAACGATAGAGTATCATATGACGACCATTTATCGCACTAAAAAATTTTATTATACGTTTTGATTTTTTCCAATCGTACATGTTTTTTTATATTCCTAAATTTATCAATTTATTTTAAAGTAATTTTTATTCAACTAAACGATTGAATTAAATGGAATGAATTAATGTAAAACAATATGTATATATAATTATTATAAATTGTTTTAAAATTAATTAAATATTCCATTTTTTTAAATAACAAAAATAATTATTAATTATAGAGTTGAAAATTTTTTAAATTCTGTATTATTATCATACAGATTCATTATCGTAAATCATAATTAAATTCTTTTTAAAATGGTAATTTATGTTGGTGCACAGCCATGTTATGCAATAATTAATAACGAATTATACAAACACATCGCCAGTACGAATGAAATAGAATTGAAAAAGAAATAAAATCATTATTTTTTAAATTATTATTTCCTGATATTAAAGTTGAGAATATTTTTAATTTTAATAAATAGAACATTGATTTTTAACAAGAACATTGGCCTAGATAATCTTACGATTATAATCGTACTATCGTGCTACCAGTAATTGTCACAATTTCTTTGTTAAGTATAACAACTCTTTCTATTTTTTTTTTTTATAATTCCCTTGTAATTGTCCTTCTAATGAGAAATTCTTCAAATGAATTGTGCATTAAGGAATTACTTATGATAAGAAATTTAAATAACATATAATTTTATCTTAAGCTAGAATATAAAACTTTTCTAGCTTGAATTATTGGTATAACAATAAATATTAATCTTTTATCAAAAAATAATTATTTAGAAAAAATATTAAAAAAATGAATCGTTTTATCTTTCCTTATTATTAGTTTCTTTTATAGAATCTTTTTTAAAGAATAATTTATGTTTAATCATACAATATTACAATTTCATTGATATCGTATAGTTCGAAAAAATCTTGATGAATATTTATATAAAAAGTGATACAAAAAATATTTTCTTCATAATTTTATTCATTAGTTTAAACGATTATATAATCATACATAATTAATATGTGTTATTCACATATTAAATATATGTAGAATTATATTTTTAATATACGTTATATATATGTTTTATAATAAATATTTTATAAAATTTAAATAATAAAGCGAAGCTTTTGTTATTATTTAATACATCGAATATATCATGTATCATTCAGTCACATCACTAATTCTGAAAAAAAAATATCGAAAATTTGCAATATTTTGAATACGTATCTTACAAAAAAATATTAGTGAATTCGCAAAATTATCGATAAAAAGTTATTAAAAATCGTATCAAATATGAAACATTATGCAGAATTATTTGTACATGTTAAAAAATATTCGTATTTGCGCATTGATAAATCAATGCAGTAATAACAAACATTTGAAAGAGAAATAATATCGACGACTGTATATCATTATAATCCATGTAATTATGAAATACTTTTCTATTAGAAAAAGAATCAAAATTTTTATTTCAAATTGTCTGCAAAACTATTTTAATTTAGAAACGTTTGTAGAAAATTATACAATAAAACTTTTCTCATATTATCCTTTAAATATATGATTCTTTGCCCATAAAGTTTTTTTCTCATCATTTAATATTCATATAAAAGTTTATATTTCTTCTTGCTTAAAATATATTACAAATTAATTATTTCTAACGAAAATAAATCTTATGAATTGCTGATTTATTAACGAATTAATAATAAAGTATTCAATTAATTCCTAAGAAAAAAACTGCTGTATGAATAATTAAGAAGGATTATAAATATGAAAAATGACATCTTCTAACATTAAAATAACACATCAATTAACAATTACATATGAGTAACGATACAAATTACCAATATTTTTAAAAATATGAAATGAACTTAAAGAAATGAAAATTAAAATTTGTTTCAGTTATTAGTTATTTTTTATGCATTTTTATTCTTTAAATTCTGAGGAAATGAAAATTTACAATTTATGACAAAAATATAACTTTTCGGCATGATTGATATTTGAGAAATATGATTACTCCCCACTTGGAATGTCAAAAGAATTCTACTTCAAAAAATAACTATCCAAATAACTATCTCTAAGAAATTAAGATATAGCATATATAGCTACTGTGAAATGCTGTTATCTTGTATACATCAATCACGTCTCGATTCGACTAATACTGTATCTGGAATGCAGGTCACTCACCGGAACATGGCTCATCCATCCGGTCTTAATCACCTTAACTGTACGTGATATACTTGTTTTCTCTTAAACGATACAATCGTGATCATCCAGATTCCTTTAGGATCAATTTAAATCACACATGTTAAATCAATCAAATCGAAGGAAAACGACTATCGCGATAATTATCGATGCAGAGATAATTTATCTTTTTTTTTTTTAATCTGAGAAAGCAACGTTCACGTTAATTATAATTCCTTTCTATTTGTTCTATTTTTAGAATTCAATGAATGAAATTATTTATTCTGCTGCGCTTCCGTTTGAATTTTTATATTTATAATTGAGCTTACACGTAATGGAATGTACACTATAATTGTTATTTTTAGATATGTTTATGATATAATAGGAATTTAAAGATCGTAATTATTATCTATGTTCTATTTAAAATACATAAATATTGTAATTTGATATATTCGTAAAATGTTATTATAACATCTTATTTGAATTTTAATTAAAATACATTGTAATTAAATTCTGTTGAAAAATGGAATTAAGCTTTTCATATTTCAGACGGAGAATTTTATTCAATGTAAAAGAGGGTTGACATTAAAAATGTCAAAATAAAAATTTTGTAAAATTTTTAGGTTATAAAAATAGCGAAGAAGTCACGTTCACATTATGAACGCATTTCACGTCCCTGTTCTCGACGCTTCATCGGCTACACGTTTTCACTTTTGTGGCATCATGTTAGCTAGCAAAAAATTGCCGCGTCATTTATTAAAAAATCACTGGATTATCCATATAACGTTATATTAATTTCTTCAGTGTTTCTTTTTACGATATCCTCTTTAATAAAAAATTGGATAATTAAGTGGAGAAATCACAATATTGTTTAAAATATTCTATGATTTTGTGAAAAATGATTTTAAAAAATATTTTATTTTCAACGACGATAGTCATTAAGTGATAAACACATGCATGTTAAAATTGAGATAAACGATATTTTAATAATAGTTGAGAAAATAACTATGTGTGTTTAGAATATAACTGATAAACTATCTATTAAATTGATGCACAGGAAATATCTGCCTCTCTTTGATGTTTGAACTTGATACCACTTATGTAGTATTACGGTCAATTATTATTAACTCTTTTAAGATGATTACTACGCACGTTTCGGATCAATGTCAAATCAACGTCAAGATGTATTAAAATCAAAGTCGAGATGTATTTCCGATGTATTATCGAGACCTTTGTATCATTCACAATTCAGAGAGTTCATAATTTGGATAAAGAAAATATTTTAAATTTCATGTAAATGTAAAAATACATTTTTTTATGATAAAAAAGAAAAAGGAATAATATAATTTCAAAGAAATAAGCAAAATCTACTTTTAACTATCATATTATGTGACAAATAAGTCAAATTGACTGGTTACAAATTTTTTTTGCAATACAATTATTGAGTTTTATTTAAAAGAAATATACTATATATTTAACTATTTTTATGATACCTAAATAATTTTATACACGAAGTTTAAAATCCTTAAAATATATCGAATACATTAATCGAAATAAAACATTGATATTTGACGAAAATAATAAACATAAAAATCATATAAATTTTTTCCTAATATTACCATAAACATATCGTTTGATGCTTTCTTTATTTTAAATAAATATTGCAACAACTATCTAAAATTTTTCAGTATATTTAAATATCTATTATTATTATTTTTAATGTTAAAATATAATAATCGGAGTGTTATACAGTTGTTATGATACTTTTTCAAATAATGGCTCGATAAAAATGAATAATAACGACGAAAATAAACTTAAATTAATAAAATGCTTCGTACAAGATGGAGAGAAATATGGTTGGTGTATGGATAAATCCAAGATAGAAACGTTCAATTGGCTGTACGAGATTTAAAAGTGGGCGAACCGTCGTCGTTACGAGCTGTCTTCGTGTAGAACGATGTGAATGATGTTAGATATCTAGCTAATCTTGTTCAATAAGAACGTTCTAATAGTGGCTCATATCATTTTGAAAATAACATTTAGAAGATCACATTTAGATGATTTTGTGCAGCCTCCACTTAAAATAATGGTACCATAATTTTTTTTCCAAATATTCTCGATTGATGTTACAACGAAAGAAGAATCAATGAGCCAGATGATCTGTTTGATAAACTTTTTTCATAAACGTATAAATTGTTTTATCTTGTATCAATGTTAAATTAATTTGGTTAGTTCATATTCAGCATAGAGATGAGATGGAAAAATATATTTCTGGTTTTCATGTTTCGTAAAAACAGGATTTCGTATATCAAGTAAATCATGTAAACTGTTTCAAGAGATGTTACACAAAAATATCACACAAATGTGGAGGGTTTTTTTTAGATGTAAAGAATCAAAAATGAATCTATCTTTCAAATTTGATTTCTTTCTTCCTTTTTTTTTTTTTTTTTGTCAATCTTATGATCTTGAAACGAGTATGTGACATAGGTTGGGCACAACAAAATATTTCTATATGGTCTTGAGATTCGAGCAAAATTTGTGGTGTAATTTATATTATATGGATGTTGACTTCAACATAACAGTCTGTTCAGTCGAGAGGATGTAAATGTTTGGATGTTGATGAAGAGAGCATTTCGAGTGTCTGATAGAGGACATTTTGATGGTGTTAAATAATTGATGGCTTACAATAAAAGTAATTACCGTTATAATTATTTATGTATCATTTACTATTATTTCTTTGAAAAAGGTTATTAAAAATTTTTAAAAATTCATTGGAATCCATTTAATTAGATACTATTATATTTTCGCACGATAATTCACTGATCAATAATTAAATAATACTTAATTAATAATTAACAAATTATATTTATTTGTTTTAGAAACGCGAGAAAGAAGCCAAAATCCATCGATATCTCGTAATTCGTAATTCATTTATATTAAAATATTTGCCAATTAACAAGTTATAATTGTATTATTGAATGCAAGAAGAGACTCACAGTCTGACAATCGTCAGTTTCTTCTTCTTCAGAAAAATAAGATCTTCATTGGCAAGTTTAAGTTACAAAACACAACTTCATCAATTTTAAATCTACAACAATAAAATTTACAGAGTATCCGTAAAAAAAAAAAAAACAAAAAGAATCTAATTAAGCATTTTACTCGAAAAGGGGGTGTCTTTCTTGCACCCCAATTTGCACTTCTAACAACTTCTAACGTTACATCTAACAATCTCACTTGAATAATTTAGAAAAAAGAATACACAAAAAAGTAAAAAACTCGATCCTTCCATCTTACAAGGGACGATCATCATTCTCGCGTTGGATTTCTCTCGTCAAAGAGAAGCGGACCATGTTGTCCACTCCACGAACAATCGAAAGCAATCGATCAAAAGCTTGGCCAAAACTTGCCGCCGACCCAAGAATCATCCCTTCGAAATTAACCACCACCCTCCCCCTCTCCAACCATCCTCTCCAAGAAAGTCAACCATCGATGTACACGCGGAACGTGTGTACACACCCTCCCCCTCCCGTGTCCCATCCCGCGCGGGGATATCGATATTGAAACGCGAGAAGAAAAAAAAGCAGAAGGGGTGGGGAAAAAAAAAAAGAAAAGAAAAAAAAAAAGGAAAAAAGATTCAATCAGTCGCGAAGTTTCATCGCCAATCAATCACCCCCCTCCCCTAGCCGAATGCTTCAGAAAGCTTTCCTCGCGCGCGCAGCCCGCACTGGCGCGGCTGATCGCGACGACGACGACGACGCTAAAATGGCCGAGGGGGGTGAAACGAGGAGGCGGGGAGGGGGAGGAGGGCGAAGGAGAGAACGAGGCGACAGGGTGCGTGGAGGGAGGGGGGAGGGGGGAGGAGGAGGGAGGGGAGAGGAGCGAGCTTTCGGGTTGCATGACCGAGTCGACGCACTGGAAGCTTTCCGTGCTTGCGGCGGGAGCCTCAGTAGCCGTTTGTACGTCGACCGGAAGAGCTCCTCGCGTTTACCGTCGGTCCCGGAGACGCGCGGCGCGCCATCGTCGACCGAGTGATCGACGAATCGAATCTCTCGTCGCTTGGTCCCAATTTTTTTCGTTCTCTCTCTCTCTCTCTCTCTCTCTTTCTTTTCTTCTTCTCTCTTCTATCTCTCTCCTCTCTTCTCTCTCTCTCTTCTCTCTTCTGCTTCTTCTTCTCTCCCTCTCTCTTCTCTCCTCTTGGCTGGATCCTCGAGCCCGGTGACATTGTCGTTTTTCGAAACGGTGGAAAAGGTGTTGCAAGGGCGAGTTGCGAGTGTGGTGGATACTTTTTTTTTTTTTTTTTTTTTTCTCTCCAAAAAATAAGAAACGAATGAACGAACGGACAAACAGGAGGAACGGATTTTGTAAATCTTGGTGGAGAAGTGTGTGCGTAACGTTTTTTTTTTTTTTTTTCTTTTCTCTTTCTCCTTCGGTCCCCTTTCACTCTTTTCGCCCTCCCCCCTCTTCTCGTCCGGTCGAAATGAATCGCCGTGGATAGGTGTGACACACACCGCGGAGGGGGAGCAGAGGAAGTGTTAATATGAACACGGAGCAGTGAACCGTGAACCGCGTATGTGTGTATAAATTCCGGTTGCCGAGAATACGAGGAGACACGATGAGAAGTGACACAAGATATCGGGAAGCGCGATCTTCTCTTTTCGCGTCCCTTTTTGTCGTCCTCGCCGTTTTCGTGATCGGTAAGGAATCCCTCCCATTCTCCCCCCAGTGAGGAGTTACGGTTAACCCAGTGATCCATCGCGATATTTATCTTCCCCACTGCTTGGTTTCGATCGTTAAAAATGTGCGCGCTGCAACAACATCGATCGCAACGACGTTGCAATAACAAATGGATCTCGGATGTTCGATCTATAAATGAAACGCGGGTGGTGGAAGGAAAGGAAGGGATATCTCGAAGGGATGAGAAGTATTTAAATATTTGTTTTCGAAGATGCACGCGATGCATCGAGTGATCGTCCGAAAAAAAAAACGATGAATTTTAAGTGCTCTTTTGGTGCTCCTTTTTATTTATTATCCGAATATTTGTTCGATCCTACGATGCTTTGATACTTATTTGCGATCTACGAATTATTCTTTAACTCAAGACGAACAACAGTGGATGTAGCCGTATGAAATTTCATATACGAGCGATCGACGGTTTCCGCGATCGATTTGAAATTGAGTCGCGCGTGTTACTGGATGTACATGCACTTTTACATTTTCATTCCTCCTATCCCTAGTGATAGTGATTCTCTCTTCGACATTCAGCTTTTTTCGATCAAATAATTTGTTCCTAGAACAATCAGCATTTTTCGATATCCCAAGGGGGAGGAAAAGGTGAAATCGTTCGTATCGATATCTTGAAATGTACAAACCCTCGTTAATAAATAACCTCTTTTCCTTTGCCGAAATTAATCGAATTAGAAACGTTCAACCATCGTTAAGTGATCGAGTAAAAACAAGAAAAGAAGAAGAAGAAAAGAAAAAAGGAATACTTGCTTTAAATCGCGATAAATGTTTTAAAATTAAATTAATCATCGTTTGAAAAGTGATTAAACATCAAGGAAAAGGATGAAGTTTATTCGCAACAATATCTGTCAAACGCACGAATCTTTATCTTTATGAACAACATCTCCCGTTTATTTTGAAATATTTAATGCAAGAGGAGTATAAAAAACGATTTGAAAAAGGAAGACGCGTATACACTTTTAATGGAATCTACTCGATATCTTCAAATAAATAAATCCTCGCTAAATCCTTATTAAAATTGAAATTATTCGAATCGAATTATTAAATTTAATACAAACGCAACATAATTCCTTTCCAAAATCAAATTGAAAATAATAAATCAAAAAGAACGTCTGTCCACGAAGGAGGAGGTAAACGTAAAAACCGTATTTCCACCAACTTTCTCGTAACATCTATCCACAACACCTCCCCTCCACCTCATAAGAGATTTTTAAAGGTTCAATCAGTTTTCGTTGGCGCGCTTTTCCTAGCTGAAAGCGACGGCCTTTTTCCAAACCCATTCGTCTTCGTGAAAGTATTTGAAACTCGGTTTCGAGACTTGAGAAATCGCCCCCGGTGATTGTGCCACGTATCCGTGTTTTGACTTAAACCGCCGACCTAACTTTGTGGATAAAGTATCGTTGCAACGACGAGGAAAGAGAGATGTCGAGTGTACACACACACACACACACACACGATCTTGGATTATTCGATTTTTCGGGGAGAGCTAGTGCACTTGCGGAGAATTTCAAACTACCTTTATTAGATACCTTTATTAGATGTCCGTGCTTCTCGTGAATCTTGCCGAGACATCCATTTGCGGAGACAGGAGAAGAAAGCCTTCCACGTCCGTTTCGACGGCACGTTACACGTTTTCCTTCTTTTGCGCGGGGCAAAACCACGGTCGAATAGGATTGCAACACTTTTTTCCCCGCTTGAAAATTTTTGATTTTCACGGGGAAGAAGAAGAAGAAGAAGAAGAAGAAGATGGAACTAGCTATCGTGCGCGTTACGTTTAGAAGAAGTTTTTGCGCGCGACGAAATGGTTTCACGGTTTCATCTCGCGTTAAATAATTGCTTATTGGGGAGAGGTGGATAAAAATTGATATATACGCGGTAAAATTATGCGTATTTAGTAGATTTAAATAATCGTGTATGCTGTTTTCTAACTCGTTCTCGCGATTGAAATTTAATAATATTCCATTGTGCTTCTAAGATACGTTGTGGGTATATAGATAAAAATTGAAAATCACGGGTTTTATAGTGTATTATTTGTAATTCTAAGATGAAGGAAAACTTTGTTTGGATGAATGCTGATGTAAATGAAGAATTGATAATAATATCTTTGTTTTTCGCGTTGCTTGTAATCGTTCGGGTTTTAATTGGATTATTACACGTGTTTGCTTATGGAGCTGAAAATTTTTTATCCAATTTTCATAGAGACTTTACTCGAATCAAATAAAGCTGAAAAAATTCTTTCTACACGCGATTGAACGAAACGAATAATTAGAAATTTTCTATTTTATTTTTCACCCGTTATCCAATATAATTCATTCGTTTTTTTTAATCGAATATAAAATAGTGTTAAAAGGAAATGAGAAAGAAAAAGTCTTTCCTATACTCGATTAAACGAATATAAATATTAGCGTAATTAAGAAATTAAAGTGCAGATTGAGCGAATATATCTCGGAGAAACGAGCTTAAAAATGAAGGTTTTTAACTTGCGAACCGGTGCGATTGAACGTAAAAAACCAAAGTAGAAGAGAACCATCTCTTCAAAGTATCTACTAAATAATCTAAAAGAAACGATTCTCTCGAAACTTGTATAATTTCCTTCTCTCGCGATCCTTACGATTCAGACGATTCTTCCTCGAAAGCTTATCTTTAATTTTACTTATCCTCATCAACTTTTACCTTCAATTAATACAATTCAGAAGAGAATTTGCCGATCCAGGTGTAGTAAAATCTCTTTATCAATTTGGAATCAATTTACGATCGCGTCTAGACCCGGTTAAAAATTTGATTTCGCCAATAACTGATCTTTAGATCACTCCGGTTGCGGAATTCCACCTTCGTATCGAGCACCGCGATGAAGCCATTAACTCGTTATTACAGCGCTAATATTGCCGCTCGAAATTGTTGTGGCAGGCGGCAATTAATATTGAAAGCGAATGAAGATTGTAATTACAGGATGTGAGGAAAAAAAGAAAAAAAGAAGAAAAAAAAAAAGTGAATAGAGAAAATGCACGTATGCTTTTCAAGAATCGAGCGAATCGGTCCTGTTGGAAAATTATTTATAGGAAATACATTATGGACGATGAAGAGAGTCTCTTTTTCGATGTTACGTTTCTTGTGTACCCTCTCGATATATTATATATCGATGGATATCGCATTGGAAAAGTGTGTACACGATGATTTATATTTCGAGAATGACGGGGAGGGAGAGAAGAAAAACTTCACTTCCTCGTGGATATTTTTACCGAGTTAAAGGAAGAAAAGAAAAAGTGTTTCGTCGCATAATCATTTGAAAGATGGTTATGTGGTTGATATTATATAAGTGGTGCGCCGATACAACTGCAAAGAATTCATTCAAAGTAGAAATTGGAAATATAAAAAGGAATTAATTCTATTGGGGCTTCACAATTTTTAATGAAATCGTGTGGTGTTTTGCATTTCGTATTCGCGTACGTCGAAAAAAGAATTTCCATTTATATTATTGGAACTATTTTATCTCAGTGATAATTATGGATGAATTAACGGAATTTCTTTTAGATTAGTGATATTAAACGGTTTTTATTAAATCAATTCAACAAGTTACTTGAGAACTGTATACTCTATACTTTTATATTATTAATTTTTAAATGAACTCGAACTTGAATTTATTGAAATGGCAGTCGTAAAAAATAAAAGTATTATTTTATATTTTACATATCCTTTTTATTTCTTTATTTTTAAATTTTGATGTTTAAACGCGGTATTATAACATCCCTTTACACAAACCAAGATAGAATCTAAACTTTAATATATTTTTAAAAATTCTGCATTTGTGTCTTTACGATAAAAGCTCAAATTTTTGGAATTCGAATATTTAAATAAAATAAGTAAATATTAAATATAATTATTTATATAAATGTGAATAGTGAAACAGACAGTTATTAATTTAATACATAATTACATATATCGTATTTACTAGTAACAATAATATTTATAAAAATATTTATTCAGTATAAATTTTTTCTTATTACTTTAACAAATAAAACAATTTTAATGTAATGAATACATTAAATAATAATGATGACTTATTAACAATTCAAATATACAAATATATGTTAAAGCAATAAGAAAAAATTTATATTGAATATATTTTTATAAATATCATTATATCTAATATATTGATATAATACGATATGTGTAATTACGTATTAAATTAATAGTTGTCTATTTCACATTTATGTAAATAATTATGTATTTTCTCATTAAGAAATTCAAATGTTTATTATTCGTCATGAACAATTTTCCAATTTTCGAGCAACTTTTCAATCCTATTTTGCGAAAAATGATTTATCTTTTTAATTTAAAAATGAGAAAGCTTGCATTTTCGAAAATATTGCAACAAACAGAATCGTTGGTAATTCATTAATGCTGCGTCAGAAAAAATTTGATGGATACGTTACATTCATACTAATTGAATTGTTTTTATTTCATTTTTTAATTTTATTTTATTTTTTAATTCTTTACACTGAACATCGTTTTTTCCAATAATAATCAAATATAGCGAACTAAAATTCCTTTATATTAATTTATTAAGTATATTTATTCATTTGACTTATTTGATTCTTTATTGTAAATTTTTGCTGAATAATTCGATCTCAATTTGATCTTGAAACACATTGATACAATAAATAATTCTTCGCACAACTGAAACTGAAATTCTAAAATGACGTTATACACTATTTGAAGTATGATCTAATAATAAACTGCTATTATATATTATATCACAATTATATCATTCATAATAAATATTTATTAAATAGATCGCATTAACTTAATTCGAATTTTATTTATATTAATCAAACGATTTAAAAATTCCAAAAAAATTCATTTCTAAAATTAATTTTACCTCAACTTCAATCAATCAATTCTCCATCGATCGCAAATAGAAATCGTCATATAGAAAATCATGCATAAGTAAAAAGTTACGAATACTTTCC